ATCAGATGTGCGCCAGCTGACTATGACTGACTTCATCTGTTAGGGACACAAATTCCATCTGTTAGTGACACTGATACTAGCTATTAGTGACACTCAGTGTAAGTTTATAAAATAACAAAATTAGAATACAAATAAAACAAGTGCTAAAACAGTTTATTTTACAATTATTTGTAGCTAGCTGTGCTGATTTTTGGCATTCAATATTTTTCTTTCCAAGATACAAACACCCAATAAATTGTCTTATTCTGTCTGAATTACATAAATTGTGATGTCTCAAAAAAAAACAGATCGTTCCTATGGTGAGATAGGGAGTCCTGCTTTGCATTATGGGAGAAGTATGTCAGTTAGATTTGTTCCATATATATATATTTACCCCGGTACTCAGAAACAATTACAGGTTAGTACACTATATGATATAGTAAAAGTTGTGTTGCAGATGACTGTGGAATTTACATAAAGAATGACGCTGTACATATTTGAATTTCATGAAACAATGTATTTTGTACATGCTGTATATTTCTGCTATGGGTCCCACATCAAACATAACATAGTATGATGACCACTGCCCTTTAACTATGGTATGTTTATTAGTAAAATGTTGTGAGGAATAGTTTCCATCCTTGTCGTACTTCATACTCATCTTGGCCATATGCATACAACATTTGATACATATTCCCAAGTGTATTCAATCTTTGCTTTGAATTGAGGGACTCTCATTGAGCATGGATAGATTTAAGGGTTAATATTATGGTACAGGGATTTTTCTAGAAAAAATGAACAAGAGAGAGCACACACAGGCTAGGGAATGCTATATTGAAAGGTTTCTGCGCTGTTTTAACGGTGTATCTATCGCCATTGAAATATTTTTGGAGTAATTTAGTGTATTTGGTGTCCAGACACACTGTCAGCTGGTGTTGGTGGAAAGTTTTCACAGAGAAAAATATATTTGAGAAAGATTTCATGTTGTACGGAAATGCGCAGCTCAAGATCGAAATATATTTATGACTTCAAGTTCAATCGGTAAGAGGGTGCCAGCCGAGAATATCAGGGTGCTGCACTGCCTCTGTTCTCTGGTTTAGAAAAGCCCCTGTGGTAGATTACTTACTTTATTATAAACCCTACTTGTTGAAGATGGCGATATGTTGATATGATGCTGGTCAGACGGTGTGTTCATATGATGCTGGTCAGACAGTGTGTTCATATGATGCCTTTCAGACGGTGTGTTGATATGATGCTGGTCAGACGGTGTGTTGATATGATGCTGGTCAGACGGTGTGTTGATATGATGCTGGTCAGACGGTGTGTTCATATGATGCTGGTCAGACGGTGTGTTCATATGATGCTGGTCAGACGGTGTGTTCATATGATGCTGGTCAGACGGTGTGTTGATATAATGCTGGTCAGATGGTGTGTTGATATCATGCTGGTCAGATGGTGTGTTGATATAATGCTGGTCAGATGGTGTGTTGATATCATGCTGGTCAGATGGTGTGTTGATATAATGCTGGTCAGATGGTGTGTTGATATCATGCTGGTCAGATGGTGTGTTGATATAATGCTGGTCAGACGATGTGTTGATATCATGCTGTCCAGGTGCCATACTAAGATCAAGCGTTGTACACCTTTGTAGTCTTTCCTCTTCTGTAATCTACAAAGCAGTAGAAAAACAGCAAAATTACATGTCATTACCAAGATTTGTTGGTTGTAATGGCTATATGTGAATAAAATATAAACATATGTTCTTATGTTTTTACTGATACACCAAAAAAAAAAAATATTTGACAGAAAAATGTAAATAATTGTCTAATTATGATGACAGACTGACACATTATAACTTTGTTTTCATAAAAAAGTTTGTATTCTTTAGGGAGTACTAGGCATATGCAGTCAATTTGTTTCCTGAGAATATATCATGAACTATACTTTTAACAATTTTCATCAAATGTTTTAATTAATTTTGAGTTAATATGTACAGTATGTAATCTACAACATGGTCTTTTAACACAACATTGATATGAATCCAAGCAGGTATGTTCACAGAGAAAACTATTAAGTTATATTGCTCTGGTAGCACCACTGTGCTCTCTAAGCTGATATGATGCACTAGTCTAGACTAAAAAGATTTGGTATAATGCAACTTGTTATGTTTATTCACTGGCACTTCATTGATGCAACAGAAAATAATACATTGATAAAGTGATTATAAACAAGCAGCCTGTCGACTGAGATAGCTACACTGTTAGCAATGCACATTTCAATTAAGAACTGGAGATATCATTAGAAGATGAACAATATGTATAGTATCAAAGCAATCGAACTTGCTGTTTTCAACAAGAATTCGAAAATGTCACTTTTTACCAAAAATATTCATTAAAACTAGAGAATTGAAGATATCATCACGAAATGAACAATCTGAGAGAGGTCGACCTGTAGTACCTATATAGGTAATATCAAAGCAATCAGACTTACGGTTTTCAACAAGAAGTAAAAAATAACTTTTTACCAAAAATGACAAAAATATTCACCAAAATTAGAGAATTGAAGATATTATCATGAAATGAACAAATCTAAGAGAGGTCTACCCAAGGTACATATACACCAAGTATAAAAGCATTCAGGCTCGTAGTTTTCAAGAAGAAGTCGAAAAAGTAAAACATTGACACGAACGCCGACGGACAATCACTCATATGATAAGCTCAGCTCGACAAAGTCGACAGCGGAGCTAAAAACTACATATAGAATATTATAAAAATATATATAAAAATATTGTACTGTATTTGCAGAAGTTGTATTTTTGTAAAACAAAATTCACATTCAACTTGGATCTCTAGAAACTCTGCTCTGCACTCAGACCTTTGAAGCCGGATACACAAGGCATGTGTAGTGTACATGGGCAAGAAATTTCAGATGCTGTCTGTCTATTTCATAAACAAGTTGAACAGGGAAAAAATACTACTGCTACCTGTACTCCACCCAACCCCCATCCAGGTGATCACATCCTACCATAGTCACTTTGTGTTCCAGATTTTGTATTTTTCGTGCCCCAATAAACTGACAAATGGTGTAATTATTACCTGTCTGCTCCTTGGCATCAGAATTCTGTACGGCCTGACAACAGGAATACTAGAACCAGGATTCACACATCCATGTACTAGTGGTTGTCTTTTTGTCAACCCTTTGGCTTTCAGGAGAGACTTTTTAGCTTTCTGAGAAACCACAAATGTCTTTGGTCTGTTTCTTCCATTTTTTTGCTGACGATATTCAAGGTACTTTTGTTCAAAGTTAGAACTGCGAAGAAATTTCATAACTTTGTTGTATGGCCGACCTGGTAAAAGCGATTTCTGCAAGGCATGGGTGGGTTCTATTTTCTTCAAACTATTAGACTGATGACATTTTCCTAATAGTAGTGCCCCACTTTCAGGTCTTAAAGTCAAGTCGGCTAATTTGAAGAGAGAAACAAGTTCAACATTGCTCCAATTTGAAGGACAGCCCGAGGATTGTTTCACAGTATCTTGCTTCCTTGCCTTAGTAGGTTTGTGATGTTTCTTTTTCTTGTTTAGACTTCTGTTTTTTTCTGAAAATAAATCACTCTGAATAATCACGTGAATTCCAAATATGGAATGATTACGCGCGTAAGCATCCTCTAATAATAAAAACAAACATGGCTGCCTTCAGGGTTTGACCAGACCCCACACAAAAAAGTTCTAAACATTTTTGATTTTGGCATTCTCATCATGTATCCCTGGGAGGAAAAGATGTATATTAATAAGGTTATTACAAGGATACTGCTATGCGATAATCGATACCCCGCTGTACTGTCTTTGTACATACTTCGCAGTATCCTCATAATAACCTCATATTACTAGAAAATAGGACATCATGTTGATTGTTCTGATTGGTCAACAGCAATTTTCAAATTTATAAATGTTTTTATGTTTTGTAAATTTTGTTAATGGCTTTTCTGAAAGCACTTTAAATATCAAGATATTATCCCCCCCCCCCATTTTTTCCTCCTGTGACTTTACAAGCATGGAAATTTCAACCCTATCTCTTTCAGTCCTTACTGGTTCTGCTAGTTTGTCTATCCACAACAACAAAATCATCAGAATCTCTCTCCTCCATGTACGTCCATGAAATGCCCTCATTCTCAGACATGATCTCTTGAGTCTTTCCACTGCTGCAATTCTCTCCTGTAGATATTCAAACATAACAAATCTTTCCATTATACAAATTTCTGGAAGTTATTAAGTTTATAATGCCATATTCCTACATACTGTAAATTGTCTCACCTTTACTATTCACAGATAGTTTATGATTGCTCAATTACGTAAAAACTTGATAGCCCCAAAAAAATGTCACATTATCTTTACGGTACTAATAAAGAATTCTTTTCTCTTATATTTAATAATGATGTAGTCATGGGTATATATATATAATTTTTATATATAAGAGTACATTCTGCCGCTTCAGCAAAATCCTAATTAGCA